CCCCAAAACCCCAAAACCCCAAAACCCCAAAACCCCTTAGTTTAAAAAATTTGTTGAATTTAGTTATTACTAAGCTCCCTTCTTAAAATCAGAGCATTAGACTGACCATCCCTTGATGTGGTGTAAGTAGTGCTACCTCCATCGCCATGCTTGTATCCTTTGTGTTTTGTATTGCCTGTAGGATAGATTCCAGCACGAGGCCTATAAGATGTAGTACGCACTCTTTCATGTTCATTATTTGAAATTTTTGATTTATATGATTTAAAAGGAGGAGTCGTATATTCTTCCCTTGTAAAACTTCCTCGGTCACAAGAATTCTTTTGGTTCAACCTGTTTTGAGACACATTTTCTTTGCCAAGTCCATCAGCGAGCCTTGGGCGAGAGCTTGCTTTGTAGTTATATGGTTTATGGGAGCTAATTTTTGTATCATAAGTCCTTCTTTTTCTCTCACATGATTTGTACCCTAAATTATGCTTGGCTGTGACTCCTCTTCTCGCTTCACGCTCACAAGAAGTATTGACAGATAGCTCGTCGGTCTTATTTACTAAGTCAAGAGGCTTGTTTTTTCAGTCTTGTGGGAATGCTTGTCTCATAGCTAAGTTTACTGGTCAATTCTTGAATCTCCTGTTTCAAACTTGAGTATCCTGATGAAGAATCTTGGACCCTCGAATTTCCATCTCTCAAGCTAGATTTCCTCTCTCCAAGTATCTTTGGTGTCTCAATAGAAGTCTCGTATGATCTTTGGCTTCCAGCAAGTTTTTCCATTAGTTCTTCTATTATCCTGTCTTTGTCTTCTATTTCTTGGTCTTTTAATTTTAACTTTTCTTTTAAATTTAAAATCTCATTATCTTGTTCTAGGTATTTGGCCTCCTTCTTCTTGAGTTCTTCCTCTCTCTTCTTCAGCTTAGAGTAGTGATCTTTCATGCGCTTCTCCCTAAGCCTCAGAGAGACCTGAGGAAAGTTGACTAAGTCTTGGACTGAAGGTCTTTTCTCCTGGTCAGAGTTCATCATCAGGTTGATCACCCTCCATAATTCTTCAGAATAAATTACAGGTAACCTATTGTATTTTCCCTCATTTATTTTCTTAGCTAGAGCCATCTGGGTAGAGGCTTCAAAAGGAGGCTTTAAGGAAGCAATTTCATATAAAATTCAACCTGTTGACCATATGTCAGACTTTTCATTATATTTGTTCTCATTGATCTGTTCGGGACTCATATAATAAGGTGTCCCAACATTAGTATAAGCATACAGACTCTCTTTTCCCATGATTCTAGCTAATCCAAAGTCTCCGAGCTTTACATTATTTTCAGTATCAAGAAAGAGATTTCCTGGCTTGATATCTCTGTGTAGAATTTTCCCAGATTTACGATTATGGCACTCATACAAAGCTTCAATAATCTGAGTGAAGATCTTCCAAATCTGATCTTCTGGGATATGTTGGCCTCCTTCGATTCAACGTTTGATAAGATGTGAGATGTCTCCTCCCTTTCAGTATTCCATTATAATAAATATCTTTGTGTTTTCTTTATCAATAATTCTGTCGTAATATCTGACTATATTGGGATGCTTGAGGTCTCTGAGGATGTTAACTTCAGAGACTAGCTGTTTCTTCTCTTTATCACTCATGTTGCCATAGTCAAGCTCTTTCCAGACCACTTCTTTACTGTCTGATTTCCTTCTGACCTTCCACACATTTCCAAATGTGCCTAAAATTAGTGATAAATTTCCAAAAACACATAATCAGCCCAATAAGGGTCAAATTCTGGAGTTCCCAAAAGGGTCCAAATGAAACCTACCTTGCCCTATTTTCTTAATTTTCTCGTAATTCTCCATGCTTAGTATTTGTTTGAAATTTTAAATTTTCAAATTTTATTAAGTTGGAGGGGTTTTGGGGTTTTGGGGTTTTGGGGTTTTGGGGTTTTGGGGTTTTGGGG